TATGGTAGCGATCGAATCTTTTATGCAGTCAATGAAAAACATCCTTATTGAATTCATATAGACTTCAAAATAAGTAGAGACAAAGTTTACGTTACATCATGATTTTTACGAGAAAATTAATTGATTAGGCTCATCTGTATAGACTTGCATTTTAATTGATTGACGTACCATGAATTATACATTCGAGTTCAATTAATCGTAGCTTCGATAATAATAATCAAGCGTGTCAAGTTTCGAAACTTTCAAAATCACTAATTGACATTGGTTAAACTTTCCACGTAGTACGTCATAATTCATCATCAATGATCGCGCAGTATTATGATGAACTTTTTTCAACAAAATAACGTTCTCGTCGAGTTCTGCAGGGCATCTCGCAAAAGCACATTTAATGTTCAATCCCGAAGTCGTACGGCTGATTCGAATTTCATATTTGATGGGCGAGCGTTGCTTGATTTCTCTTTTCCTTCCTCTCTAGCTTTCTTTTTTACGTGAACTGAGTTGCGCGCTTGTAGCGCGTGTCTTATACCTGTCCAGAAAATTCTATACGAAATTGCTGCGGTCTCTCCACTTTTTCGTATACAACGGAGAGTTTCGCATATACAACTGATTTTTGATACAAAAGTTAACTGGAGTAATGTCCATTAATTGACGGATCGAAGATTAAGCACCACGGCACTTTAGTGGAGTCTCGATATTCATAAAGTTTTATAACTCGAGCCAAAGTGCAAGGAGAGCGTAAGGCTTTTGCTTGCTCTCTTTATCACCATCGATTTTCACGCGTTGCCGCGCTTCGTATTTTGAATCACAAAAAGAAAAACGAGGGAAGGTGTAGTAGCCTGCGTCCGTGAGACGTAATTGCATTTTACACAGCCGACGAAGGAATTTTCTTCTGCTGCGGTGCGGCGCTCGGGCGTTTACGTGACAGTCTCCACGCGAAAGAGAAAAAAAAATATATAAGGGCTTTAATAACAGCGAGGCACTTTTTTCTCGATTGAATTTCTACCGTAGCAGGCTTTTAATTAACATAGACGTATTTTTATTTTTCTTCCGTTACGCCTGAAGAGCACACGCTCTTATGCGCGACATTATTCAAAGTTATTCAAAGTCGTGCGCGCTTGACTGCGCTACTAAACTCAAATATTTCATCGCCGCACGCGTTATAATCACGCAAATATACTCGAGAAACGGGGCATCGCATGCGCTCGCGATTCCACACGTGCGGTCATGCAATCTCCTAATATGCCAGGGATTTCCTCCAAAAAAATTCTAACAAACAACCGCTCTTGAACAAAGGAAAGGCCAGGCTTGTGGGGAAAACAAAAGCATGTTTATTTTATTCGAGATAAAAGTCTTATGCTTATGCACATATAGGTCATTTAAATTGATCGACCTATTTTTTAATTTCTGTTCTTTGACGTATGCTTACTTCGATCAAACTCAGGGAAGAACTTTATAGTTCTTTTTAGATCTATAAAGATTTATCCCTCACGTCGGATGGCGACATGTAAAACTTGTGGATCTTCAATTTCCAATTCTCCACCAACGAATGAAATGTCAAGTGTACTCTCGAGTGTACTGCGAATGTTCAAGGTGGCAGCGATGCTCATACTCAACTCTTGCTTAATTATTTACATTTTCGTCTTCATTCCGGACGGTAAATAATCTATTTTGTACGGTGTACATTTGTCATTTCAAATTTCTGAAGCTAACATGAAGTACAAAGTAATTTAAAAAAATGTATAATCTGAAGCATGAATTTTTCAAAACCATGAAATGAAGAGAGATTGTCGCATGACACCAGGCGATGGAGTAAAAAATGAAGGAATAACCAAGCAAGAAAGCGCGAGGATGGTGCGAATATCTAGCTTATCAAAATTGAATGTCGATCGATAATATATCTGTGTACGTATCTTTATACTTTGCATAAATTAAAAGCTAATATTTTCTGACCATGGTGTGCACATCTTTTGAAATTGAAATTCTTAGGATGAGAAAAAGGCCAACGAAGATTAAGCTTCGCGTTTCTACATACACGCACACACAGAGAGAGAGAGAGAGAGAGAGAGAGAGAGAGAGAGAGAGCTCGAAGAATTTTAAATTCTTTGTTTTTTTCGGACATTAATATAACTCTCTGGCTACGTCGAAAAAGTCGCGCGCACACAGACACACAATGGCTTAATTTTGCACAGGCAAATGTCCTGCAATTCTTACGCGCACTAAAATATAGGAGCGGTATTTCGGCTGTTCACGTATAAAAGTTCAGCCAATGAGATGCAAGCATTTCCATGTCTCGCATCGGTGATACGATGCGCCTTCGTGTGAATAGCCTGTTAATACTTTTGGCGAGTTGTTGGTAAGTTCTGTTGTGTTGTAAGTTTGCTTTCGACGTGATGTCCTACATTTTTTATAATATCAAAAAGTTGAAAGTTCCATCGTATGAGTGTGAGGAGCTCAATTTTACTCGTGTTTTATTATTAATGAAAACGTAAACTTACCGTCGATACTAATCTCGTTGTGTTTATCAAATTACACTAGTTACCGTGTTCAATTTCAAAAATTCAATAATGGCGCGATGTAAAAGTTGAACGGATAAAAAAGAAAGATGCGATGAATGACATACTTTTTAATGAAAACGTAAAAAGTCGAAAAACCTCGGAAAATCCACACTCGTTTCCAAGTAAAAAAAGCTACTCCAAAAAAAAAATCGTAGTTACGTCTTTCTTTTAAGCCACATATTTCTCTATCGATCTATTATTTACTATAATGCATCCTTTCAGCGAACACTTCGCGAATCCCCTTAAAAATGCATCCAATGTAAGCCAACGGCGAAACTTGATACTATCACGTGTATACTACGCTTGTACGAATGTTCTACGAATGGTTCAATCTTCTTTCTAAGCCGTTGTCAACCATATTTCATATATCTATAGAATAATGAGGAAGTCGTGATTTTATTCGAGTGACAAATAAATTAATAATTTTTTCCCAATGATTTATTTGCAAAATTATCAATCGATGGAAAAATAAAACAGAGTTCACAACAAATCCTTGATAAATATTCTTCCAAACAAATGAACGCAATCGAAACGAAAATTATTTTTCATTTCAATCGTTGCTAATGCCAGTAATTGAATATATCAGCGTATATAAGTATACGGAAAACGCATTAATCATCAAAGTAATTGTACCTCAAGCAAACTGAATTTATCGATCAGTAAAATTAACTCGAACATAAAACTCCACCACAGGAGCTGATTAAATAAGAACCAAGCCTGACTCATTCACGTCGTATTTTGTTTGTTTTCCCCGCTGTTTAACCAACCAGCTAATGCAAATTTGATGCATGACTTAAGATTCTTCAGCTTAGCCGAAAGAAGTGCATCGTTATCTTTATTGATCACTTTTCGAAAAGAGATCATTTTAGAAAATTTCATGCACAGTACAAGCGAACATCACAATAAAAGCTCCGTACTTCAAGCGTTGGTAGTCGATTTATAAGGAGAGAGACCTTCCGGTCACAAAATGAGATTAATCGGGACTCTACAGTCCGGGTCGTGGTGCTTGTAATCTGCTTCTGGTGCGCTAATAGACATGTTATTTACAAGAATGCTTATTTTCCTACTCTCACAATTACTGTGTTATTAATAATTTGCTAAACACATGTTTGCTCTTGGCATGTCAAAGAAAAAAATACTGCTAATTGGGAACTTAATGTTTTTTTCTTTCTTTTCGCGTGTTGCTTATCTTATCGCGGAGTGCGGATCAATAACAGTGCGAGGAAATTCGAGGATAGCGTAATTTATATAATTTTTATGAGGCTTCTTGGAAGTTTTTAGTGCTCTTGTTTGAAAAAAATGTTTTACATTTAAAATATGAAAAAAAACTCGATAACAGCCGTTATCGAAGATTGTAAAGATTGCAGAGCTATATTTGAATATTCGCTAAAAATATTTCTTACAGTCCAATAATCCAATCCAAGCAATTAATATCCGATTTCGTGGTTTCCCTGAAAAAGTTCTATATTTACAACAAACTTTTAGCACGCTACGTATTATCCACCACTTGTATGGCTATCTAAACTGACTCTACTGAAGACAATCAACAAAGATCTGTCAACGAGATGCACTAACAATAAAAAAGGAGCTAACGTAAACTGATACTTCTCTTATCCAACCCTAAATCCAAGCTCAAAGCCAGAGAGAAAGTGTGTGCAATCGATCAAACTGTTGATTAAAAAAATAGAGAGAGAGAGAGAGAGAGAGAGAGAGAGAGAGAAATCGAAGGGCGTGCGTGCTAAAGCGTCCGAACTTGAGCCGCACGCAGAAGTATAAATAGCTTTAAAGCGTCGGTCGTAAAAAGGCGGTGGTGCAAGCGCAAGTCCTCTCTCCTTACATCTCGTTTTCGGTATTGCTTATGGAGTGTCCCCAAACGTCTCCTCTGACTTTTATGCTGATTTGGCTCCATACACTCGTCGTACTCTTGGACTTATCACTAACGCTTTTTTTTGTCGGTTTCTTGTTGGTCGCTTGATCGCACAAAGGTGCGATCTCTTTTACTGGTACTTTGTTATCAATTATCTTCTCTCGCGAGCAAGTAATACCAAGAAAATGTTTCTGTTGATTGAATTTAATAGGTGGCAGGTCTGAAAAACTTGAAAAAAAGAAGGCCGGGGGTAGTGGGTCGTAAGCAACAGATCGTTCGTAGAGTGCAGCTGTACCTGGCGCGCTAAAGCCACGTAACGGCGTAATTAGTCTCTTTCTTCGGTGGCTCACGAACAATAAGTTGACTGGCGGCGTGACGATTAAAACGAGGGATTGTTAAACGAGCCAAAGACGCGACGCTATACGCGGCCTGCGGCGCTGTACGGCAGAGCAGAGACAGAAAGAGTCGCCGAGGACAGAGCGCGCCGCTCATGCATTCCAGCAGGGGCGAAATCGCGTGGCCAGCCTCGCGGAAACTTGGGTGCAGAGGGCAGAGTTTCGAAAAAAAGTAGTACGAACCGGTGCGCTTGGAGGGTGGCGCACGGTGTCCGTAGAGCCGCTGCAGGTCGATGGCGCGAGCGGCGTGGTGATGAGCGAGGAGGCCGCCAAGCACAAGAAGCAGCAGCAAGGCGCTCATCGCTGCTACTGAGGCTCCTCCTTGTCGTCGTCGTCGTCCCCGTCGCTGTCCTCCGCGGCAGCCGCCTCCTCGCTGGAGCTTGCAGCTCGCGGCGTGCTCGTCGTTCTGTGCATGCGCGCCTACTGAAAGCGCTCTGGCGGCGGGCCGCCGCCACCGCTCGCCGAAGCGCGCGCCTGCGCCCTGCCGGTCTGCCGTTCCACGCTGGCTGCCCGCACCTGCCCCGACGATCGATCAGCCAACACTCTCTCACCTTTGTCATCTCCCAGACACGCTCTCCCCCGACTCTTCGCACGCCGTCGCTCGATCCTTGCTTTCCAATTTTATACCGATGCTCGGGATGTTCGGGTTGCTCGGGGTGCTCGCGGGAGCGCGACCGACCAGCGGCCCGCCCAGACTCTGCTCGCCAAGTGGCGGCCGCTTCGCGAGCTGTTTGGACGCTCAATCTTTGGACTTTTACGTTTGCGCTGCCTTTACTTTTTACTTCTGCGACTTTTCGCTGTTTAGTTTTCTGGCCCGCGGCAATCCACCTCTGAGGCTTTCTGATTTTCGTTCCTCCCCGCGAGTTTCATTAGGGGACCTCGCCTAGCGAAACGTAATGCATAATCTTCGTGCGCGAGTGTGTTACTTTCCTTTCCTCTACCGTTGTGACAGTTGATTGCGGAGTTTCCAGCTGACGGAAAGACTTGACCTATCGGGCGACGACCGAGAACAAACGAGAGGATGGAAAAGTGAGGTGATCAAAAGCTGCCTTCTTCTCGTCAGTCGAGCATACGAATACACCGTCGCTGTCTCTGTTTCGTGCGTTCGCATTTACGCCGCTAAAGAACAATAGGACAAGAACGAGCCTTGTAAAGAAATATGTACTCGTACGTGCACACACAAACGTGGCAACGTTTAAAGGCTGTCTTATAGAAAAGCTCCAATCGACTCCTCTTACATGATTTTCTTTATTAAAATAATGTTTAGTCGTGAGATTGTTTTTCCCTGGCTCCATCTGGAATAATCTCTCGATGCTCATAAATAATCAGAGCCGAGCTGCTTCTGAAGATTTCACGTAACAACACGCTGCAACGCTAGCGGCAGTACAGCCCCTAAAAATGATTGTGGATGTGTTGTTTTGTCCTTTTGAAAAACTGCAGTTTTTGGCAAGAATGCACTGATTGATCGCGTTCTCATTGAAACTAATATTGAATTGATATTCAGCTATCGTTGTGCGCGGCTCCGACTCAAGGAGTTGTACATCTTTAACACATGAACAACCGCGCAACAAGTGATACAAACGAAAAGACAGCCAGAGAACTGGTTTCTCACAATTGTTCTCGAAGGCTTTCTTGAGCGATATTATATACGTATATACAGGAGGAATCTCATTTTGTCGTCTAATGGCGTCTGCGATGAAATTCCACCTGAGACTTGTCTGAGAGACGCTCGATAGACGGTATATATCCCCAAGCGGCTTTGCTTTTCTATCGATGGCCTGTTTTTTTGTCTTATCGCTTGAGAGCTTTTTTCATCCGTTTGTTGATGCGCTTCGTTAATGGATCTTGTGTACATTTGAAGTGCTCTCTTTGAACGCGCGGGCGCTATTTCTTTTATTATTATTTTATCAACGGCGATGTGTGTAAAATGCTTATAACTAGTATGCAAATGCAGTTGGCTTAAGTGATTAAAAGGCAGCGCTGTCGGGTTAATAAGCCTAATGCATCGCAATACAAATTCATTAACCGATAGAGCACTCTGAAAGTGCTTGCACCGCACTCAATCCCCTTATCGTCGGATAATGCCTCTGCTCAAAATTAAATACATGCGTTAATTTGATTAGAGAATATTGCAACAAATCACACAGGGTGCGAGACTTCGCGTCGGAGGAAACGAGATTTTATTTGCCGACGAATCTTTCACGATCAAACAATCGCGCAAAGCGCCCTTTCAACATCGCTCTTTTGGACGTGTACGTTCTTTAGCTGCTTATTACGGCGCTGTTAACTAACCGCCACTCGCGCGTTTGCATGTGCAATACGCGCTCGGCTGGAATCGAACGTTCGCGCCTCTCTGCCCCTTCAATTGACAATAGAAACGCGGCTAATGTCGCTATCGCGCGAGCTACCGTTACGGATGGCTAACACAGAGTCTGGCGACGCGGCAGGAGGGAGCTGAAGACTCTTCCCTCAGGACTGGTCAGTGAGGGACGACGGACGGTGCAACCGACGCCGATTCCCGTTTGGAATGGGATAAGTTAACATTTACTTTGCCTCGTCAACCATGCTGCACTTCTACAAATTACGCGGCTATCAAGTCCATGCGAATTTCATTATTGACCAATGTTTCGTTAAACTCCTCCAATTCCGTGACATATTATCCGCTATTGGTCCTGCCGGATATGTTGTCTGACCGCGTGACGTGAGCGTTTAACATCCGACGATATCAGATATTTTCGTATGACGAGTTCTCGATGCGGATGATGAGTGAATCGTCGAATGACAATACTGTAACTAATATTATTTGCTATATGTACGTCTATAGCTTACAAGGAGCAATCACTCAAAATAATTATTATTGGAACTCTTGCTCATGATTTATTTTGTATACCTCACCCGCGGCATCGAAATCATTCTGGTGTATGACACATAGGATCCTCAAGAGGACATTAATTATTATCGGCATCTTCGTCTCTTTGTGCGAGCGACTGCATGGCTTGGATTATAATAATGAATTTTTCATGAATGCTTCTAGCGAGCTTATTGATTTGAAGCGATCAAGGATGAGCAATGGCTTTTTTACGGTCGATATATGTATATATATATATATATATATATCTATATAATTCATTAATCATTTTTGCGATTGCTCAATAAGTAGAATGCATTCTAAGTTTCTAACATTGATGAGTGGAATATTTACGATGAATCAATTGTTAGGCAAATTCTTGTAATAGTAATTTTATAGTACACTACCAAAAACAGTGTTAAGTTTCATTCAATTTCATTTTATCCACCTTCGATCCCTTCAATTCAATCCATGTTTTTCAACTAATTGCTTTTCTGCACGTACGAACCAGAAATTTTATTTAACTGTGTCACATAGCTTAATATTCTCTAAACTTTGGCAGAGTTTAATTCGAAGAAAAATCAAGAAGACGCATCGACATACGTTACTGTCGAAAGAAGATTCTTCGAAACATGATATTTCTCAAGTCAGATTTTCCGAACGAAAAAATGTCAACGTCAAAGCTAAGATTGCTGTGTACGTATATTGCAGATCCGTTTCTCTTTACTCGCTTTCTGCGACTCTCTTTCCTGATCGTGTTTTCAAAGGAGATAAAACTTCGGCCTATATACCGCTAAAAGCAAATTTAAAGGCAGCCAAGAAAGTATAAGCGCGTCATAAAACTTGATGAAAAATTTATGCAATATTGGAAAAGCATAAAGTGTAATACATGGTATTCTATAGATGAATTTTCATTCTTTCTGTTAATCTTCGTCAAAGTAGAGCGTTCGAAAGGACAAGGCAATCATTCAAGTTGCTAACCATGCGAGGTAAGAGGTGTTGTACGCGAGAAATGTTTAGTCGTTTCACAGTACTTGAATCAGTCCGAAGGTATATTTCATCAACGAGAGCTGTATTGGCTCGATTGGAGTTCAAAGGCTGTTAAGGTATACTGGTAATGCATTTAAGGAACGTTAAACTTGAGACCGCAAATCACTTCGATTGCGCAGCCGGGTAGCCGGAGAGTCGAGAGCGAAGTCTTTGACGTTCGGGTATTTCCAGCACGAAGTCAATTGCATCCATCCAGATGAATCGGATTTAATGGTCGCAGTTGCCATAAAAACTGAACTTGTGATTAATCTAATTGTTGCTATTATCTTTTTCAATTCGTTCATTACAAGAATGCAGACATTATTTATAATTTCATTTCATCAACCGCGTTACGTTGGTGAAAACTAGCAAATTTCTAAGTGCATCTTGGCAATAAGCTGATGAAAAACAAAAATCGAATTCGACGCATTTCCGCGCCGAATTCGGCTTATGTGAACTTTCTGCTAGAGGTTGATGCAATTCGTTTTCTACTTGTATCAGACTGTATTTTTGGTAAAAAGTGCATTATTGAATTGTCGCAAAAAATGCCAACTTTGTTTGGCATGTAATGAAAATGGCTGTTTCGAAATCGCACATATTGACGAGCTATAAAAGATTATTCACCTATATAAAAACAATAAATGTTTTTTCGTAAATATCAAATAGAGAAATATTCCAACCCAAGTGCTTTGTACATGTTTTTTGTTATCGATCGATGTAACTGAGATGAAATTTGCCAGTTCATTTCTATTTCGAACCACACCCACGTGCCGTAAACGCTCTTGGAAACTTTGATGAGCCTTGCCAAATTGAAACGCCTTTCAAAGGACGAATAACAAAAGAGATAGTTCGTAAAGCCTGCGCGGACAGGTGTATGACGTGGCCGGATGAACTGTCAGCTCGCGACTCGCTCGTAATTATAAATTCCTCGCAAGCTCCGTATTTAGCTCGTCAAAATTCATCGTTTCTTCTCACAACTACCCTTCGTCTGAATTCGAATTTGACGCTCGCTTGGGAGTTTCAGTATAGCTAAGATATATATACGCGTTAACCAATATTGTGTGATTATGCGCTGCAATGCGAGCGAACAGATTAAATTGCTCGTGGGAGTCTGTCATATCTGAGTCAAGGTAACTATTTACGAGTTGCGCATTGCGAGCTTACTCGTATATGTATACACACTGTAAATTCTATACTTCCTTATTAATTAAAATTATATAATGATTATAATGCAAATTTCGATAATTGGATCGTTTTTCATTGTGAGCTTATTTCATCCTGTCCGTACTTGTCAAAGTTGTGTTGATTATTCAAAAATTATTCATTTTTTATTTTCATTTTGTGTCATCAAGTTGAAAAATAATAACCATCTGGATTTTCTGCAATTAAGCATGAATGCAATGAAAATGTCCGAATTTCAAGGTGAACAGTTTGTAAATAATGATCTCAATCGAAAAATAGAAATCATAAGGAAACGCTAAAAATCGTACGCGTTCGCCCTCGCAAACAAAATAAACCCTCATAGGTGACATTCAA